GAGCCAGGAGAGGGGGACAGACTACCCTAAGGGACTCCCAACATCAAACCTGAGGATTTGCCCCGTATCCCTGCACATAGCCCCTTCTGGACTAAGAGAAGCAGCCTTCCAGCTTCCCTGCCTAGACAATGCTCACAACACTCCAATCTCTTCACACAGCCCCAGGGAGCATTGCCCACCAGCAGTGCCATGCTTCGCAACTCCAGCCACAGCAAAGGCATGGTCTATGTGGGTAAGCATCCCTTGATCCAGATCTTGGGCACTGGGCAGGCAGGGAGGTACCCTACTTGGGAAGGTCACATACAAGTCCAGTCACAGGCTCTGGAGTCTCTATCCCTTAGTGCCCTGTCTGCACTGGGTTTGGGGGAAGGGGGGGCAGGAACAACACCTGGCTTTCCAGGCAGAAGACAACAGCATTGCTCTTCCAGTTCAGCTTTATTTTGCAAACATTGACAAGACCTCCTGTGCACAGAGACCCTTGTGGGGACCACATGAATCAATGCGCACTCTCACAGCACAGACTTGGTAGAGGAGACAGGGCTCACAGTTTAGTGCCATGGTAGACAGAGGTACAAATGGAGCCAGAAAAGGCAGGCTCCCTTTCATGGGCTTCCTAGCTGTTGGCCTCAGCCTACTCTGTTCTGGGGAGGAACACAGAAGATCCAGCCACCACTCACTTCCCTTCACCCGACTGTCCCCTCTAGGACAGGGACCAGGATATGGTGGGGAGTTGCCATTTTGTCAAACAGAGGAGGCAGAACAGCAAGAGCAGAAGCCTGGAAGCTTGGGAGAACAGGGTACTCTGGGAAGGGATAGGTGTCCAGAATGGCAAACAAAGAGGAAGCTACAGGAGATGAGGATAGAAAAATGGGCCGGTCAACTCCTCACGTCACGGTATAAGCTTTCAAGTCTACATAGGAGGGACCTTTTTGGCAACGAAGTTTAGGTGCGGCTGCCCAGGGCCCCTCGCCGTTGTTCCTTTCCTCCATAGGTAAGACCCTGAGGGGGTAAGACAGGGACAGGGAAAGAGTATGGGTAGGAACAGGGAGAGTCCTGGCCCCAGATACCTCCTCCTCATCCCCTCCACCACCCTGAGCCTCCAGGGGCTTCATCCCTGTCTACTGTGCCCTCCTGGCCACCATGGTCCTCGGTCTGCTCGCCTATGTAGTCTTTTAAGTGGTAGGTGGTCTGGGCACTGCCCTGTGGCATCCCCCTCTCTGTGTGGACTCCCAGCCAGCTCCCTCTGTCTTAAAGGTGGGAGGGAACAGATTGGTAGATTGCCCCTCCTCCTGACAGCTGGCACTCACATAAGCAAAGACAGCAGCTGGCCAAGGCTCAGACTGCAGAGGTGGGGGAGCCTCAACAGGGACCAGATGCATGGGGATAGCAGTGTCCTCCTGGACTCTCCTAGCAGTCTGGAGGCCTATGCCCCCAGCCAGGGTGAGCCCCTTTGCCCAATCTATAGTTCTTTGGACCTACCTAGCATTGCCCCACCATCCAGCCCTTGTATGATTCATGTCTCCTGCCCTAGGGCCACATACTGAGCTTGGCTGCTGACTTTACCTTCATCTCCCTCGGCAGCAGGAGTGGAGCAGCTCCTGGGGTGTTGGGTGAACCTCACAAGAGCTGGCAGGGCCTGGCAGGCCGCCTGAGGCTGTGGACACCATGGCCCAGGGCCAGATGCCAGCCTACACCTTGCTGAGGGACTGGGCCATCCAAGAAGGCTATGGTGCCACCCTCAAGAGGATGCCCTGGCTGCCATGGGCCATGAAGATGTGGTCCAAGCCCTGGGAGCCCCCAGCTGAGGGCTGCTCTGTGGTGTGATGCCCCCATAGCCTTGCCTCTCAGGGAGCCTGCTACGGTGCTCCCCACCACTCCCATCTCATACACCATCCCCTTCATGGACCTCCTGGCATTGCTGGCCTCGGCCTACTCTGTTCTGGGGAGGAACACAGAACATCCAGCCACCACTTACTTACCTTCACCCTACTGTCTTCTCTAGGACAGGGACCAGGATATGGTGAGGAGCTGGCAGTAAGGAGTGGGCCTGCCCTCTGGCTCCCTACTGTACCTCCCCTTATTCAGCCTCAGTTATTTTTTCTACTTTTGTATCCCATATTAAAGGCAACTTTGGACTTCTCTGCTGGCTCTATCTGGCTCCTTGGGCCTGGGAGACAATTAGGTGGCTATGAGGCAGAGGCCCAGAAAAGGGCTTGGAGCTGTGGGTCCCTAGGATGTGGAAGGGCTCTCTCCAAGCAGTACCTTGGATGGCAGGCAGTGTGCTCCTGTAGAAGATGCACGGGCTTTGGAGGCAGACTGGAGTTCATATCCTGCATCTGCCATTCACTGGCTGCATCATGCTGGGAAGCTATTTTATCTTATTTTACCAGCTTTCTTACCTGGAGAATAAATTAAAATGGTACATTCAGTAGTTCCCTCCACCCCTAAGACTCCTAGGCTGGTGCTGAGGGACCCTGGGTATGAGATCATTTTCCTGACTTGTGCTATGACCAGCATGAAGGGGAAGCTGGAGGCCTGCCCCTCTAGATAGGGGGAAAGAGGCAGACTGGTCCTGGGCAGTTAGTTAATAACCAAGGGCCTCAAGTCATCTCTAGATGAGATTTAAAAAAAAAAGGCAAGGCTCTCCTTTTAACACCCCGTCTCAGGAGGAGTTCGAAATGTGCGTCCACAGTTGTTCATGTCATTTCTATACAAGCCAAGACATGCAGGGTCATCCTGGACAGTTGAGACAGGGCAGATGAACCCAAACCACCTGCACCAACCACTTGTACCCATGCATATACCCACCCTGAAAGGAGTGGTTGGTTATTGTGCCTTTTGAGGGAGGTGCCACAGCAGAAAGGCCCTGCCTAGGAATGAACGATAGCTACCATCCAAGCATCCACCAGGATCAGAAGGCTTCAGAGGCACAGCCATCCAGTTATCATGATCCAGTGGGGCCCAAGGTAGATCTTATCCCCTTGTTAAAATGTGATGTGAATAGGATTAGCTACTCATCAGAATCATCATAGACTGCTGCTACTGCTACCCTTAGAAACAGTTTACCAGGGCTGTTTAACAGCCTGTAAATCTTTCCCTTAAAATAAGAGCAGGAAGTGGCTGGGTACAGTGGCTCACACCTGTAATTCTAGTGCTTTGGGATGCTGAGGCAGGAGGATTGCTTGAGGGCAGGAGTTTGAGACCAACCTGAGCAAGACTGACAGAGATGCTGCCTCTACAAAAAATAGAAAAATTAGCCTGGCGTGGTGGCATGTGCCTGTAGTCCCAGCTACTCGGGAGGCTGAGGCAGAAGGATCACTTGAGCCCAGGAGTTCGAGGTTGCAGTGAGCTATGATGATGCCACTGCACTCTAGCCCAGGCGACAAGTGAGACCCTGTCTCAAAACAAAACAAGAGCAGGAAGTTTACAGACAGA